GACCATGCTGCAGTAATTTCCATGCCAAAGGATCCCTCAGTAATTTACTGTCTACGTAGCATACAGAAATTACCTCACCCACTCTTACATACTGCTGCCTCTGTGGTGAAATATGCACAGCAACACCCTACTACAGAAAGAGCAGAGGGATAATGTAACCAACTGAAACTACAGGGGGGTAACCTGAAAACAGAATGGGTGGCTCCCCAAATTGGAACTTAGTCAGGAACTTAGTTCCCATGAGTATGGGTCTTGTGATAACTCCATATTTATATGTGCTTTGGAATTTTTCTCTGCCCTTCTTTCTCAGTCTCTATTTGTTTATTACTCTGTCTTTATCATGATTTATACTCCTTAATCGGGGCTTGGGGCTCCACTATGCTAGGCACTGTACATCCTAAAAGGACTCCCCCTTGCCAAGGAAATTCCAATCTTAGCATAGGACAAGAGACAACAGGTGGAGGAAAAACCAAGTCAGGGCAGACAAGGGAACATGAAATCACTGTGGCTGGTATAATGAGTAGCAGTCTCAGCCTGCCAACTCCATAGCTATTGTGTAGCTATCGTGGCAAAGGTGAGCCTTAAAGAGGCCAGTGTAGTGGCTATATGAATATTTACTGTCCCTTTATGCCTCATTTTTGCCTTGTTTGGTTCAACATTTTTCCCCTCTGTTCCTTTCTCTATAGTCTCTCCTAAATGGTTTCTCTTAATTGAAATTAGGCAATATGAGTTTGCTTATCGGTCACTGTCCAGTCACCAAGTTCTAAGGCAGTATTGTGATTACTTGTATTGCTTCAGCATTAGACTTAAGCGAAGGGCCAACATTCACAATCACAAATGCATATCTGTATTTCCAAAGAGAATCTCTGAGGGCGCCCCTTACCAGGCATAATGAAAGGTTTCAGAGTAGCAGCCGTGTTAGTCTGTATCCGCAAAAAGAAGAACAGGAGGACTTGTGGCACCTTAGAGACTAACAAATTTATTAGAGCATAAGCTTTCGTGGACTACAGCCCACTTCTTCGGATGCATCCGAAGAAG